ACACAGGATAGTTTGGGTGCTGTGGGTGGGCAATACACAAGAAGGGGGAGGGGAATGGAAGAACAAGGTGGATAGGAGAACATTCAGGAAGATTTGCATGGGCTAAGTGAAACAGTTAATTAATGATGTGTGGTAAAACTTGGAACAATAGGACTCTAGGATACAGGGATAGAGGCATAGTTTGAATGGGTAAAAGAGGGGAAATAATGTTAAGATGCTTGATTGTCTTTTGAATCTTGGTTTCCCTTGCCTACTATTGTAAAATAAACACTTGAGGGAAAGAGAAAGAAATAGCCTGAAACATTGCCATAAAAGCTTGTAAATCCATCTTCAGCCTATAACTGATTGTTGTTTGTTGTTAAGTGCCGTCTTATCAGTTCCAACCCATAGCGACCCTGAACAGAGTTTTCAAGGCTGTAAATCTTTACAGGAGCAGAAAGCCTCATCTTTCTTCTGCAGAGTAGCTAGTAGTTTCGAACTGCTTGTAGTTTCGAACTTGTGGTTCACAACCTGATTCGTAACAACTACACTACCATTTTGGAATACCTAAAATAGGCTAGAACCTGCCCAGTGAAGGAGGCTTCCTGCAGAGCCTTTGCATTGCATAAGACCAAAATAACTGAACCCCATCCAGAATCTTCTGTGGTGGGAAATTTCCACTTGAAAAGACCAGTAGACCAGCCTGGAGCAGCTGTAAGAAGAGAAGATATTTCTTGAAAGAAAGACCAGCAGGAAAAAATCAAAAACAAAAATGGCAGTCTGATTGACTACTACAGGAACAAGCAAGTTGTTCACCCAGGAGCCATCAAAGCAAGTGGTCGGATCCCCTAAGAGAAAACCCCTCCAAAACAGAGACTCAAGGTGAATACGTGAGCAGGCATATGGCAATGTGGTGACCACGTTGGTCTACCAACAAGGGAAAGAGGTGGTGGAGAACAGCAATGAAGTGGTGAGCTAAGTCCGACCTCGTTCAATAGACTCCTGTCAACCTGGGTTGAATTTTTTAATCAGTTCCATCAGCTTGAGGAATACTGAGATGTTCTTCCCTTTTGTTTTTCTAACTCCAGGTCTTTGCACATTTTGTTATAACATTTGACTTTGTCTTCTTGAGCCGATCTTTGAAATGTTCTGTTCAACTCTTGTATCTCCTCACTTATTCCATTTGCTTTAGCATCTTTAGGCTAGAGAGCCAGTCTCAGAATCTCTTCTGACATCCATTTTGGGGTTTTCCTTCTCTCTTGTCTTTTCAATGACCTTTGGCTTTCTTCCTATATGATGCTCTTGATGTCATCCCACTACTCTTTTAGTCTTCCGTCTTTAGTGTCTAACATATCAAATCTGTTCTTCAGATAGTCTCTAAATTCAGGTGGGATATATTCAAGGTTGTATTTTGGCTCTTGTGAACTTGTTTTCATTTTCTTCAGCTTCAGTCTGAATTTGCACATGAGCAATTGATGGTCTGTTCCACACTGTGTGCCAGGCCTTGTTTTGGCTGATGATATGGAGCTTTTCCACTATCTCTTTCCACAGCTGTAGTCAATTTGATTTATGTGTAGTCTATCTGGTGAGGTGAGCATCTTTTGTGCTGTTTAAAAATATCTCAGAATGCTTTAGGTAAGAAAGTATTGAAGGCTGACATTTCCATTTTCAGGACAACCATCACATTTGGACTAGCCATGTTTTAAAAGAGAAATCCATTCTTTGAACTCAAGCATATATCTAAATCCAGCTGTACCTCCTATTCCATATTTTTCTGATACTACAGTGAGCAACACAGTCTTATAAAGAATGTTTCCAACTTATTCTATTAACTCTAATTCCAAATTGTAGCCAGCTCAACTGCATTTCAAAAACTGTTCTCTAATGATGTTTGTGAGTGCCATTTGGGAGTAAGTGAAAGACTTCGGATGATGTTTTGGGAAAAGTTTCAACAGGAAGAAAAACTAATTCTCAGATGACTTAAGAAATCATTGCATTACCAAATCCTGTGTTGTGTGACTGTGTATTTAAACACTCTTCTGTAATCAATAATAAACAAATTATGAAGAAGGGCTTGTGAGCAATGACAGAAATGTGACATGTATGATCAAGCTGAGAATTTGTTTGGGAGACATTGCTCCCAAACTTAGAAGGTTTTAAGGGAAACAAAGTCAGAAAGAAGATTTTAATCAGGAATAAAAAGAATTCTCCCCACACTTCCATTGGATTTGGGGGACAAAAACTTGACAGAGTTGATTGGAAAAAATATCTGATTTAGTGGACTTTACTCACTTATATATTTTACAGTCTAATATAGTAGTTTTTCCTGATTTGAAAATCTTTGCATTATTCTCAAGTTTTTTTAATTTGTACTGAATATAGTTCTAAGAGACCTGAAAAAAAAAAAAAAATGCATGTATAGTGAAGATTCATATACATTTTTATGGGAAGGCAAAAAAAGTCTATAGAAATTGGATTCTGGAAATATAGCTAATTTTCTTATCAAATTCAGATTGGTAATTAGAACAAAAAATAAACTAAAATATCAAAGATTTCTATCTAAAAAGATACAAATTTCTATGTCTCTTGCTTGTTAGGTTTTTTTAAGTTGAAATTTCTTCCTAGACTTGCATTCCTTTGAAGTTCATAGAGTCTATTTGTGTTTCAAATGCCTGGAGGAGAAGCTATCCATAATGGACTCCATCTAAAAACCAAAGATTCTACAATCAACTGGACCCAGGTCAGTGGTAATGAAATCAAGCTTTCTCCCCAGAAAGCTTAATTATGTTAATTTAGCCAAGTAATTTTCACTAAGATCATTTTTTCAGTAAGATTCTCTCAATTGTAGGCTAGTCATTACTCTCTCCCCTACTTCTAGTAGATGTCTGGTCTGTTCTAAGCTCTAAAAATAGAGACTTATTCAAGAAAAAAATTAATAAAAAATAATTTATCTTCCTAACTATCTGCATCACAACACAATATTATCTGCATCTCACTACAAATCCTATCAGTAATGTCATCAGTCCAAACATTGTTTACAACTATTGAAATCATTTTTATGACATTCTGTTTAGCATTATTTCTCACCAAGTAACATGAATCATGTTCCGCCTTTTACTAACTTCCACATTTCCAAATTAAAGTTAGAATTTGTTCTTCTAATCTATTACAAAGTGTTAACCACATTACAAAGTATTAACAAGAGCTATGGATGAGGGAAAGAGCTTAGGGATTGAGCTATACTGAAAATTGATGAGTTTCCCTCACCTTTACTGAAGCTGTGATGCAAATGATGTCTTCATCAGTTATAAAGGAAAAATTTATTATTGTGTTTTTATGGTGTTGGGGAAGTAGGATAAAAATAATAACATGACCATTTGTAACAATAGCATGTACCTACTGTTGAAATCAGTACGGAGCTCTAGTAGCGTAATGGTTACAAATCAGACTGTGAACCACAAGGTCAGCAGTTCGAAACTACCAGCTGCTCCACGGGAGAAAGATGAGGCTTTCTGCTCCCATAAAGATTTACAGCCTTGGAAACCCTGTTCAGGATCCCTATGAGTCGGAACAGACTCGACGGCACTTAACAACAACAATGGTTAAAATCAATATACAGACCATACCCCAAAAAAAGAATATATTCTTAGCTATGTTCATTATTTACCCAATTTAGCAGTGAAACTTCAAGTTATCTTAATTGATCAAATGTGTACCTGAAGAAAAAATTGTGCTATCTTAGATGATCCTAATGTTTCTGTATTCTCAATAAAAGATTCAAAAACATAATGATTGATTTATTTCCATCTGTAAATTGCAAATGGAGAAAAATATAAAATCTAGAGCATGAATGCGTATAGTGAAAGTTCCATTGCATGCAAAACTCATTTAAGAAATATTGTGAAATTTTGAAGCCCTTCATGAGATTTACCACATTTCCAAAGATGAATTGTTGGAAAGATTGAGAGTGAAATGAAGGAACCTATTTAGCCACGTAGAATACACAGGGTCATTAAATGAATGCTGCTTGACAGGCTGTAAAAGAGATCCTTCTTGATCACATTTTAAAAAACTTCTCCATCTACAGCTCTGTCTCTGTCTGTATGTGCATGTGTTTTCATTTGATGGAAAATGAATAATGAGTTCTAGAACATAACTGACGTATACATAGCACTTGGGAAATTTTATAGCTCATACATAGTTTGACTTTTTAAATGATTATGTTCATATAACTATAAATATTCAAGACAATAGACAAGTATAATTTATGGACTAGTTGTAATTGATGATATTTGTCAGGAAAAAAATTAAGCTATTAACCCTACAATCTGAGAGGCATTTAGATAAAAAAATGAAGTCTCAAAACTGATCATATATGATCATTTATAATAACATCTTCCTATTATTGAGATGGAGTCCTCGTGTGGTACTATAGGCTAATGTGCTGGGCTGCAAAGTTGGTTTGAACCACAAGTTGGTTCAAGTTCACGAGATGCTCCTTGGAAACACTATGCAGGGTTGCTATGGGTCAGAACCAACTCTAAAGCACTTAATAACAAAAACAAAAAAATCTATTGAGATAAATAACAGCAAGGTGTTATTGTAAATAATATGAAATGTTGAGATAGAGTCCTGGTGCGGTTCTGTGGGATAATGCAATGGACCAAGAAGTCAGGTTGAACTGCAAGGTCGGCAGTTCTAATTCACGAGTTATTCCTCAGAAACCTATACATGATCACTATGAGTCTACACAGACTTGTCACACTAACAACAACAAATTATTGATAAGTTTGTAAGATACTACTACTATGTGATTAATTTGAATGAGGAGAAATATAATCTCCTTCTGTTCTTATTTATAACAATCTGAAAATTGGTAGTGGTAAGATAATTGTAGTTCCATCAATTCCAAAGACCAGGACTATAGAAGTAATAAAATATTTTGTTATTGAAATATCACTCAGAAACACTGTGATCTTTTCAGATGGGACACATTTCTTCAACCAAGCTGCATTGGTAGAATGAGCAATGTAACTGAATTCATCCTGCTCGGTCTAACTCAGAATCCAAAACTGCAGAAACTCTTATTTCCTGTTTGTTTAATCATCTACTTGATCACATTGGCAGGTAACTTGTTCATCTCAGTCACTATCTTTGTCAGCCCAGCCTTGGGATCACCCATGTACTTTTTTCTGTCGTGTTTGTCCACTATAGATGGTTTTTACTCTTCTTGCATCGTTCCCAAAATGATCTTTGACTTGATCTCTGAGAAAAACACCATATCTTTCAATGGCTGCATGACTCAGCTCTTTGCTGAACATTTTTTTGCTGCCACTGAGATGATCTTGTTAATTGCGATGGCCTATGACCGCTATGTGGCCATCTGTAAACCCTTACACTACACAACCATCATGAGTAGACATCTATGTACTTTCATGGTCGGGATGGCTGGGGTTTTGGGGTTTATTCATGGAGGGATCCAGTTTTTTTTAATTGTTCAATTACCATTTTGTGGCCCCAATGTCATTGACCATTTTGCATGTGACTTAATATCCCTCCTGAAGTTGGCCTGCACAGACACTCACATTTTGGGGCCCCTAATTGCTGCCAATAGTGGATCACAATGTTTGATCACTTTTTTGATGCTTATCACTTCCTATATCATCATCCTGTACTCCCTAAGGCATTACAGCACTGAAGGGCGCCGCAAAGCCCTCTTGACGTGTGCCTCTCATGTCACTGTCGTCATCTTATTCTTTGTACCTTGTTCATTCCTGTATCTGAGACCCATGACCTCCTTCTCCGCTGACAAAGCAGTGACTGTATTTTGCACCCTAGTAACTCCTATGTTGAATCCTTTAATCTACACCTTTAGAAATGCAGAAGTAAAAAATGCCATGAAAAAGGTCTTGGGTCAAGTAATACACGCCAGCAAAAGATAAATCTTGTGATTAAAGTATTTAACTAAATAATTCCCGATTAAATGTGAGACATTTACTTATCCTGTTTGGATCCATTTGCTTTAGGAGCACACGAGTTGTAGGCAGTACTGACTTACCCTTTAGACATAATAGGCACAGTTCCTAGAGCCAACAATACTTTTAGCAGCCCAAGATATATTGTATTTTTTTCTAAAATGAAAAGAATATAATCCAACTTGGATTATATTAATCTTTATACTAATATCGTAATATATATCCACAGTTTTCATATTTTTTATTGAGGAAGGTGACTATAACACTCAAAGCATATAGGGCCCACAAGAGTCATTTGTGGAATGAATTGTATGTAAAACACATCACTAGTTGTATCCATGAATAGTCGTATACCCATTCCTAAAACCAGAATGGAGTTGTGTATTAACAGGAAAAATAATATATATGAAGGAAGTTTACTACAGAAGTGAGAGAGTCTACTAGAAACACTCTCAACTAAATACGTTTTTTGTCAAATCTCATTTCATTAAATTTGAGAGACATAAATGTTCTGATATCACAGAAGTAAAAAACATTTTAGATACTGTAAATCCAAGAGCACAATTGCAATCAAAATATTTTTTGAAGATTACATCTCAACCATTCCCTTTAGTCCATAATTGTTCTGAGATATTATGGAAGCAGAATTTTCCAAAGCAAAAGAAATACAATCAATAAAACCTTTAGAGTTATAGAATACATAATGCAATATCTGCACATTAATGTCTAATGTTAGACACATACAAAGGTAAAAGAAGTTTTAAAAACAAAATAGTTGTTATCGGAAATTATCATAGATATAAGAACAAGTTTTGTACCTGAACCTGAACAATAAGAACCCCAGGTCTGGATTGTGTAAAAGAAACCATAATTAATTAATGAGGGATTTGTAAATAGATGCTTTGAAGTCAAAATGAAGATTTTGGATGAAATAAGTCTGATTTCTCATGTGATCTTTGCCAGTAATTCACCTTGGATTGTTTCACCTCTCTCTGCCTATTTATTCATCTGTGAAAGGGAAATAAAATTACATATTCCTTAAAGTGAAAAAGTTAATGATCTAAATTAGAAAAATTGACTCCAACCAAAAATAGTAGAAATTGGTCATCTTTGCCACCTTCAGAGATACTCTCCTGGGAATGTGGTACTCCTCTGTTGGTTTACAACAGAAAAGCCCAAGAGCACCAAAACTGTCCCTTCCAACCAGGCAGTGGCTAGACCAAATATCTATCCCAGTCTCACTTCACTCCAAATATGTCATAAATGTCATCCATTTGCTTATAAGGACAGCATCAGGGTGGGTTATCATCTCAGCCACGACAACTCTGTCAATTTTTTGTACTGTCATATCTTGTGTGTTGCTACTATGCTGGAAACTATGCCACCACTATGTCAAATAGGGTCACCAGAGAATCTTCCAGGCTAAGACAAACTAGAAAAACAGATCTGATGATCCGTTTCCAAAAATCACCCAATGAAAATGCTATGGATCAAAGAGAATATTGTTCACTATGTTGTTGTTGTTAAGTGCCGTCGAGTCGGTTTCGACCCATAGTGACCCTGTACAGGGTTTCCGAGGGTGTAAATCTTTACAGGAGTAGAAAGCCTGATCTTTCTCCCGCGGAGCAGCTGGTAGTTTCGAACTGCTGACCTTAAGGTTCGCAGCCCGATTGTTCACTATAGTGTTAGAAAATTAGCTCCCTAGATTGAAAGTTTGTCAAAATATGCAGTGACAATAACAATGGTCTTGAGCATAGCAACATGCTTTGAACAGAACTAATATCAAAAGTATACTTCTTAATTATATGTCCTGTCTTCTTCTGGTCCTCTGGCCCGGTGCTAGAGGCCAGAAGACATCGCTATAAAGAGTTTGTGATTTCTGGGGAAAACTCAGAAGGATATTTACAAGAGGAGATTTCTAACCCAGGCACATGATGACAACATTTTCCATGTTGTCCAGTCTCTAAATTGAGTCCAAAATCAGTGATAAAACCTTTAAAAAACAGATGCTTTGTGGACTCCAGTCTTCCTGGGACCATAAAGGTTGGATGAACCCATGAAGCTATTGCCCTGAGATTATATTTAAACGTTAAACCAAAATTATCCCCTGAAGTCTTCTTAAAATGAAACAAGACCTTAGCTTACTAGTAAAAGAACAAATAGTGCCTTCAGCATTATGCTCTTCAATAACTATCTCTGTGAGACCAAGTTGACAACAGCATTTCAAAAGATTAGATAGGAACTTTAGGGGCTATTGAATTTATATTAATAGGGAAGGTGAGAATGATTCACAATTCAAAGACTGTAATGTCACTAAACGTTTTATGTAGAAACTATTGAATTGGTGTGTGTTTTGCATGTGTATTCTCAACCACAAAATCAATAAAATTATGTATTAAAAATACAGATGTTTTGCCAATTTTTCTGTATATTTCCACCTTACAAATATGTACAATTTTGTGTTTTAAAAAATCAAATTTAGGTTTTAAATATCTAATCACTGTTTCCAAGAAAAACATAATGAGAAGTAGAATTTTTTGAATGCCAGATAAAAAGAAAAATCATGATGGTGATGGTGTGGTGGTGGTAATCATGATAATGATGACAATGATGATACTGATTATGGTAGGGGTTGTTTATTGAGAACTTTTAATAAAATCCTGCAGTGCAGTACATTACTTCATATGGCTCTGCAGTACATTACTTCATGTGGCTCTGCAGTACATTACTTCATATGGCTCTGCAGTACATTACTTCATGTGGCTCTTCTACAGACTATCTTCATAACTCCCACCAACAACACTTTTTGCTGATGGTTTTGAGTAAGAAAAAGCAAGAGAAACTGTTAATAGGATGATTTGATTCAGTTTGATGGTTGACAGAGTTCATTGTAGTTGTACAAACTTGGAACTCTAAAGTGGTTTTGAAATGATCCATCATAGAAGCAATAGTGGAGAATCTCACTGCCATCACAGAAGAGATAAGAGTGAAGCACATCCTTTTGATCAGAGATCCCTGTACATTGAACCTCCTTACCCAGAAATAGAAATAGTGACACTGGAGGAGTGGCAGAGGAGCAGAAGCAAAAGAAAGAACCAGAGTACAAGACAGAGCAGTGGATTGCCCAGCCTGAAGAGCAAGTAAAGCTGAGCGACTTTGGGCAGGAGGCTTGCTTGCAGAGTGGGTGTCTCCAGTAACTTAATTGGGGGAGCTAGGTTTGCTGCCACACAAAACTAAAGTGCCTTCAGCCACGGGCAGATAGCAGAGTTGTGTGTCTTGTAGGCATTACCAGCAGCCCTAAAAAAGCTTTGTAACATTACCCATAAAGAGGCCTGCTTTGGGCATGGCTGAAGAAAGGCTCTCCTGACTGGAAGAACTGTGCCTTGAACATTACTGACCCTGAATTGTAACCTGTTAACTTCCCTCATGAACCTCACAAATGCTAACGTAGTATTTGAGTTCTGTGTGGCCACTTTAAACTTCAAACTGTGCAACTTTCTTCTAATTAAAATATTTAATTATTTCAAGATTATGGTGCCTCAAACAACAGGAGGATGTGAACATCAATAAAGCAATAATAGTACAAGTAATTATAATGCTTTAATTGGAAATTGGGCTGCTAACATCAAGGTCAGCAGTTTGAAACTACCAGCTGTTCTGTAGGAGAAAGATTAGACTTTCTGCTACCATAAAGATTTACAATCTCAGAAAAATTGCAGGGTCATTATGAGTTAGAAATGACTCCACAGCACATAACCACCACCACCACCAATGCTTTAATGTATTGTTTCCTGATTGGTAAGTGTTTTATATTCCTTCTGACATTTAATTCTCACAACAGTCTTATAAATCAATACTATTGTTATTTTTATTTTTCAAATTAGGAAACCAAGGGTCAGAGAGAAGGCAAATATCCTCCCTTGACTTTGATCACACAAGTGATGTGCTTTCTTCTGCATGAAGTCTTTCAATCCAACAATTACCTACTGTATGGCTCCTTGCCTTAGTGAGAGTCTTTAAGCTCCTAAACACCATTTTTCAGAATGGCCAGGCACCATCCGCTCTCTGAACCAAGACTAGATTTAACACCCAATCTTCGATGATGTTTTAAGAAAAGATTAGTATGCATTGGCACCACATTTGAGTAACTACTTGGTTAGTACATACTTAGGAAGTCTTTAGCGTGAGGGTTCAAGTCCATTGATGGAATGTTGTTGTCAGTTGTTGAGTTGGTCCTGACTCTTAGCGACCCTATGCATATAGAACAAAATGCTGCCTGGTCCTGAAGTATCTTCACAATTGTTGTTATGCTGGAGCCTATGACAATTGCCACTGTGCCAATCTATCTCATTGAGGACTCTTCCTTTTTTTTTTCATTGACACTCCACTTTAATTAGCATAATGTCCTTTTTGAGGGACAGATCCTTCCTGATAATTATGTCTGAAATATGAGAGATGAAGTTTCACTGTTCTGGCTTCTAAAGATCATTCTGGTTGTACTTCTTCCTACACAGCTTTGTTTGTTCTTCTGGAAATCCATAGTATACTTCTCTGATATCATAACTCATCAATTCCTTATGGTCTTCCTTATACATTGTCCAATAGTCACATGAATATGAAGTTATTGAAATTTACCATGGCTTGAGTCAGGCACACCTGAGTCCTCGAACACTAAAGAGGTTTTGTGCAGCAGATTTGCCTAATGCAATATGTCCTTTGATATCTTCACTGCTACTTCCATGAGTGTTAATAATGGATACAAGCAAAGTGAAGTCTTGGACAACTTCAATCTTTTCTCCATTTAGTGTGATGTTATCTGTTAATACAATGGTGAGGATTTTTGTTCTCTTTACATTGATGTGCAACCCATACTGTAAGCTAAGTTCTTTGATCTTCATCAATAAGTATTCTAAGTCCTCTCCACTTTCAGCAAGCAAGGTTGTAGCATCTGCATATCGCAGATAGTTAATAAGCCTTTCTCCAAACTTGATGACATGTTCTTCTTCATAAAATCCAGCTTCTCAGATTATTTGCTCAGCATACAGACTGAATTGGTATGGTGAAAGAATACAATCATGGTACACAAATTTCCTAACTTTAAACTATTCAGTGCCCCCTTGTTCTGTCCATATGACAGCCTCTTAGTCTATGTAAAGATTTCTCATGAGAAAAATTAAGTGTTCAGAAATACACATTCTTCACAATCTTATTCATAGCTTGTCATGATTCAAACAGTCTAAAGCCTTTGCATAGTCAATAAAGCACAAGAAAACATTTCTGGTAGTCTCTACTTTAAGTCAAAATCCATCTAATACCAGCAATGATATCCCTTATTCCATGTCCTCATCTAAATCTGGCTTGAACCTCTGGTAGTTCCCTGTCAGTGTACTGATACAGTCACTTTGTAATTTATCTTCAGCAAAATTTTGCTTGCATGCAGTAGTAATGATTTTGTCCAGTGATTTCTGTATTCCGTTGGGTCACCTCTCCTAAGAATGTGCACAAATAAGAATTGTTTCATATCAATCAATTGCACAGGTAGTTGTCATCCAAATTTCTTGGCATCGATAATTTGGTGTCTCCAGTTCTGCATCAATTTGTTAAAATATTTCCATTTGTATGCCATCAATTCCCTGAGCCTTGTTTTGCCAATGCCTTCAGTCTACCCTGGACTTCTTTCTTCAGTGTCTATCCTGTCAGTCATAATACTGTCATATGTAGGAGGCTTATTACTTGCATCCAGATTAACTTTGGTGAAAAAGGTGGTGAGCACTCTGGCTGGCCTTTTTTGCAGCTGAGTCATACAAATTGTTTTCTTTCATGTCCTCAGTTTTAGGGACACCTTTAGGTTGATGAGCTTGGGTTATTACAGCAATTTCAATGACTCTTTTAGCTTGGTTATGGCATTAAGGTGATCTTCATCAAGAAGAGAATCAGACTCAGAATCTGTGAAGGATTGAACCACAAAAGAAACATTAGGTATTCAAATTCTACAATAGCCACAAAGTCCTGAGCATCTTCTAATTTTTTCTTAGTAGAAGTAGGGTAAGTTCAGATAAATTTCTTCCTTTTGGAGTTGATAGTGATTCCTTCTGTTTAGACTCTATGTCCCAGATATTTTACAGAAGGTTGAGCCAATTGCAATTTTCATTGGAGGTCTTATATCCTCCAGCTGTTAAATATTGTAATAGCAGAACACTATCGACAAGACAATGTTGTGGAGAACTTGAGCATGCCAACAGGTCATTGACATATAATAAGGTAGACTTGTGAAAAAAGTTTGGTTTTTGAGAGTATGATTGTTAAGAGTTACAAAACAGCATACAAAATTTTGTGAAAAGTATGTAACAGAGTCTATGAATCTTTGAGACATGACAGTCAGTGTATATAGCTTACCTTCCCACATAAATGTAACCAAATATTGGCTATCCACATCTACAAGAATATTTTTTAAACTACTACAAATATCAACCACTGCAAAGTGGTTACTTTCTGGTAGCATATTAGACAAAAGTCAATGAGAATTTGAGACAACTAGAATTCGGGGAATTACTATTTTATATATTTATGAGCCTTGGATCCTGTATGACTCTCCATACTCAGTGTCCAAGCTTCCTGACAGGAAAAACAGGAGGATTACAGGTAATTGTTAGACCTTTGTCCAAAAGTCTTGAATAATGGGTACTAATCATTCCTTGATTTCTTTTTTCAGGGGTTACTGGGATACTTCTGGGAGAGACTTCCAAGTATCTTTTTGAATTTTAACAAGGTGTGCTAACAAAACATGGGCAGTATCCATGGAATTCATAAACCTGAAAGTCTTAAAAACCACAATTAGCTCATTAACAACAACAAAAAAAGGAAAAAGGTTTCTTTTGGGTTAAATAAACTTGCAGCATGGAGAAAACAAGCATCCTCCTCTAGCTCTGTTTCTGCATTAAAGTTGTTGTTGTTGTGAGGTTCCATCAAGTTAGTACCAACTCATAGTGACCCTAGGCACAACTTAACAAAACACTGCTTGGTCCTGTGCCAACCTCACAATATTTGCTGTACCTGAACCCATTGCTGCTGCCACTGTTCCAAGCCAACTCGTTAGGGATTTTTTCTCTTTTTCTCCAACCCTCCACTTGATCAAACATGATATCCTTTTCCAAGTACTGGTCCATCCTGATAATATGTCCAATGAATGAGAGACAAAGTCTGGCCATCCTGGCTTCCAAGTAGCATTCTGGATGTATTTCTTTCCTATACAGATCTGTTTGTTCTTTAGCATTTAATTTTGTTTTATATTTTTAATATTCTCCTCCAACACCATAACTCAAATGCATCAATTTTTCTATGGTCTTCCATATTCACTGTCCTACTTTCACATGCATATGAGGCTATTGAAAATGCCATGGCTTGGATCAGGCACACCTTAGTCTTCAAACTAACATCTTTGCTCTTTGACACCTTAAAGAGGTCTTTTATAGCAGATTTGCCTAATGCAATACATTATTTGATTTCTCAACTGCTGCTTCCATGAGTGTTGATGGTTGACCGGAACAAAATGAAGTCTTTGACAACTTGAATCTTTTCTTCATTTTTATGTATGTTGTTTATTGCAAGGATTTTTGTATATTGTGTTTTGTAGTTGTATTTGTATATTACAATTCCAGTATCTTTACTAAGTAAAAATAAGAGTATATATCCATAAAGGGATAAAAGGAGATAGGGATAGTTTGGAAATGGGTTTAAAATTTGTTCCTGATTGTTACCCTCACAACTTTAGAGATGTTTGTATTCCAGAGTAGATACTTTTGTAAAGAAAGAAGAAGAAAAAAAATGTGGGGTTAAAAGCAGAAAGAGTGGTACCTGTGTTCATTTGAAATATACAAATTTCTCCATTAATTTGAATAGTGGGTTCTCCTTGGAAATTCAGTGCCATTATTGGAGAAACTCCTATGTGTTCCACATATCCCCTTCATTTGGTTTCAAATTTAGAACCTAAAGGTAGGACTGTAGCTTCATTATTTTTTAACTTAAGGAAATCCTTCTTAAAATGTCTAGACATTTTAAAATAAGAGCATACAACAAGAGTTTTGCCCAATTCACAATTCATTGACATACAAAAGGGAAAAAAGTCCCTTTTGTAGCTTTGTTTTGGGGCTGTTGAAATTGCTTCACCTGGGCATCTATCATTTTGTTGGTGGCAATGGTTTCTTTGATCTGTAAGTTTCACACAGTAAACCTCACCATACCACTGGACAATAAAGAAGCAAATATTTGAAGTAGGAATCAAAGCTACAAAATCATGATTGTTTTTTAAATAACCAGGGAAGTTGAAGGTGGGCCATCTGAAATTAGAGACTTATCAGGAGCTAGTGATTAGCATATGTGTGGGATTACAAGAATGGTTAATGGAACATGTGCTTTTCAATTAATTACAGGATAATCACAGAACAATAGCAGGACTTATTTTTCTGAGAAACGGTTCTTAGAACTGCTTTCTCAAACATATCTTTTCCTAGTGGTTCATTGTAAAGATTTATTGAGAATGCTGTGAGTCAAGACCCTTTGAGCATAAACTATTACATTCTGTATCTATTTGACTATAGATGAAAAGACCCCTTGAAAATCAACTGTGACATCTTGCCCAAACACAGAGCAAAAACTGTTTCCTTTGGGGTATATGGCTAGGTCAGCATGAAGATTAGAGAAACTGCTTTTTAAAAAGGCAACTTTCAAATTCAACATGGAGTCTAGTCTCAGGCAAGATTTTTAAAATGGAATTAAAGCTCATCTTTCAGGCTGCTCTACTTATACCCACCAAGTTCCTCAGATTTTAGATTCTCATACAGCAGAAACAAGACTAAGAACTTTACAAAGACTAGCTCTCACAACATCACTTAGAGAAATGTATTATCATTATCCTTATTTTAAAGACAGGCATCAAAAGTTAATAAATGCTTTGTCATTTACACAAGATTATTGGTAAGCATAGAAAATTAGATTCAAATTCAGATTGATTCATATTTGGAGCCAGATATCTTAATCTCTCTGCAATAATACATTGCTATATATGGTTAAGAATGAAGTTGTTTACCTTAACTTATATTTTACATCATATTTCCATCACTCAATTATTATACAGACACAAGTGATAGCAACATAGATTGCTATTTAAACATTTGGACAAATTAAACTGATTTTAACTTTTGACTTAGGAACTTCAAAGTTAGATGATCTTAATTGATAAATTAACCACATCAGGAAATGCAGTTTTCTCCTTTATAAAATAAGGATAATAATTTATACCATATCTATTTCATAGAGTTTGTGCTAATTGTATTATGCAATTAACATAAAACAATTAAGTAAACCTTAAAAATCTATGAAGATGAAAGAAAAGATAAAAAGAAAGATGCCATATGGCAATAAAACACAAGTCTTGATTTGTTTCTTTTAGAGAAATAGTCATTTTTATTTCCTATTATACCACTCATTGCTGTTGTTAAGTACCAATGAGTCAATTCTGACTCATAGCAGCTCTGTAGAGGTTTTTAAAGAGTGGCTAGTAAGCTTGAACCACCAACCTTGTGGTTCAAACTGACCTTGCAATCTAACACATGAACCCTCACTGCCACACCAGGGCTCCACTCATTACCCATCTCCAATGTCTTATTCCATGAAGAGCTTTCTCATAGCATTTTTTACTTCTTCATTTCTCAGGGTATAAATGATTGGATTCAGCATAGGTATCAGAATAACATAAAACACTGCCATGTTTTTGTCTATAGGTGATGTAGAGGATGGGCGCATATAAGTAAATATGCCAGGTACAAAGAACAAGGTGACAACAGTGAAGTGGGCCCCACAGGTGGAAAGGGCTCTGCGCCTCCCCTCGGCACTGTGGGACCTCAAGGAGTACAGGATGATAATGTAGGAGGCAGCCAGCATCAAGAAGCTCAACAGACAGATCACACCACTGTTGGCAACCACCAGCAGACCAATGACATACGTGTTAGTGCAGGCAAGTTCCAATAAGGGGTACAAGTCACAGATAAAGTGATTGATCACATTGGGACCACAGAATGGCAGTGGAAGGACAAAGAGGAGCTGAACCAATGAATGCAGAGAGCCTCCCAGCCAAGCCACACCCACAAGGAAGGCACAGAGATGCCTGGTCATGATTGTTGTGTAGTGCAGGGGCTTGCAGATGGCCACGTAGCGATCATAGGCCATAATTATAAGCAGAATGCTCTCAGCACCTCCCAAAAAATGGGCTCCAAAGAGCTGAGTCATGCAGCCTACATAAGAGATGGCTGTCCCTTCATACAAGGAGTCAGCAATGAGTTTAGGGGTCATAGAAGAAGAATAGCAAGTATCAATAAAGGACAGATGGGCCAGGAAGAAATACATAGGGGAGGCCAGGGTTTGACTGAAGGTGACAGTGACCATAATAAGCATGTTGCCACAAACAGTTACCATATAAGTGATCAAAAAGACCAGAAAGAGAGCTCTCTGTACTTTCGGATTCTGTGAGAGTCCCAGAATGATAAATTCCGTGACGTTGTGTGGTAATTCCATGGATCCCAAGGACACTGAGAATGCTGACACAATTTTACCTACAAACTCAAGAGAGAAACAGAATTGTAACAGAATTAGTTCAGTGGGAGGGAGTAAGTGTTGCAAGATTTCCATTAGCCACACCCATATCCTTTTCTACAGCCTTCTTTCTCTTAGTCCCATCTGTCCTAAAATTGTTATACTCAATTATTATCTTTTAATTCAACTTCTCC